ACTGTGCCCTGCTTAAGTTTTAATTAGATGCTATCAATTGCAATGAAAAGCGAAATTAATGTTTTCGAAAACTTTCACCGTTTGATATTTAAATGAGTTATATATTTAATTTTTAGTTAGGTAGTTACTCCCTGTCTTGGTATAATTTAAGTGTATTAAATTACAGGAGGCTGAAAGAAGACAAGATGAAGTCTTTAAATATTTTAATGTCCAAACTCGTTAATGCGTAAAAATTTTAAATTACCCTCCTCATTCATTTTTATAGAGAAGGTAGATACCATTTCTTGACAAGGAGGTAATCGTGGATTACTCTACATCCCCCAATTTTTCTTTTTAAAGTCCCTTCAACATGAAAGTCTATCAGGTCAAACATTGCAACCATATCTGATGTAAACTGACAGGCTGGTGCCATTAATAATCAGCTTTTCAATTTCAGTTATTTGGGTTTTGTGTTTTACAACTGGTGAAGTTTTCACCAAATCTCTATAAAAAGGCTGTGTGTGTCTATAACAAATGAGTCCTTTTTTAAAGCTGATCGTTTTGTGTTCATTTTGTTTAGTACTTTTTTTCGTAACAGATTTAATGTTTAGTATAGAGGTTAGAAAAAAATTCACAGTGTGAGATAGGCAAGAAGTAAGGCATGTAGCAACATCAGCACGGCAAAGGGCACTCCTTTAAAGGCAAGGAAGGGCAAAAATATTTCAAGTCAAATGAGGGTGATTGCTGTACAAGTCGTACTATTTTTGAATCAAGCAAGGGCAACGCCGGGCCATGTTGCTGGTGTATACTTTGTTTTCCTAAATGCTGTAACACATTTTGGACTTTTTTCTTCATAGTAAGCAGCAAGTCATAGACATTGGTTGGGCAGACTCTTTTAAACATATTTTATATATATTCTGGCGTCTGTGAAAAGTTCTGGAAATTCTTTTCTATATTTATGATCATCACTTTTTATAGAATTCAGCAGATTAAGAGCTTTTATTGCTGGTACCCCTAGTAATGGTTCACTCAAAATTTCAATAACAAACAAATCCTGTTTAGATTTTGATTTTATAGTTTCTAATAAAGTCATTACACGACCAGTAACAAAGTTGTTTGTTACATTTTTAAATAATTGGGGAGTTTTTCTAGAATTACTACTGTTACATCTGCTCCAGCATAAAATTTGAAATTATACATAGCTTTGTATTAATTTTCACTTGCCAGGCTTCTTCCATGATCACATAATTCTATCATTAGTAGTAACAGACCCAAGGACATAGTGTGGTTATTCCATAATTTTAGACCTGTCAGCCCTACACTTTTTTTTGCATGTCCTTTTCTTGAACACTTTTAGTAAATTGCATTTTTGGTGGGATAGTTGTTTTGAGTGCGATATGGAATATTGCCACAGTATATACTTTTATTTGTACTTCTATTATGGTATACTGTATCTTGAGGTTTCTTTTTATATTTCTTTGGTGTTGCTCAGCTAATGTTTGCTTCTGCTGCATTTGTCGCTAAGGAGATAGCTTCAGTCTGTTGCTTGGTAGTTTCCAAGGCTCTGCCTATGTCTTTTATCCTTTAAAAACTTATCCCTGACTGTATCATCTTTAAACCCTACAACTATTTGATCTTGAGTTAGCCAGTCTTGCATTTCCCCAAAATTGCACCCTTTTGATAACTGCCAGAGCGCAATAACATATGCCTCTATACTCTCTGAAGCTTCTTGCTTTTGAAAATGAAAATTGTAAGCATTGCATGCTTCATGGGTTTCTCCAACAAAAAAAAAAAAAAATCTTTGAATTTCATTATTACTAGTTCCAAATTTTCTTCTCTTTATCATCCAGTTTCAACCCCTCCTAAATGTTGTATGCATCATCTATTATTAGCAAAGCAACGGATGTTTGTTATGTGCTAATAAGTGGCTTTTGAATAATTCCAAAAATTACAAATAAACTATTTCCAGCTCGTTGATCAAACAACAGCAATGAAACTCAAATTAGATACAAGGATTAATTGAAAAATAAAAAAAAGTTGGGTTTAAGAAGTGAAAACGGTTTCATTATCAAATGTACAAATTAGCAAACACAGAGTAACCTGCAGAAGAAGAAAAAAAAAAAAAAAAAAAAAAAAAATGGAGAGAAGAATGGTATGCAAACATCTTAATGCTCAGTATCCGGGGTAGAATGTGTGTAAATATGAGAGGACACTTGATAATGCCAAATGGAGATGATCTATTTCCAGAAATAGAGTATATCTGAGTGCTAGTCTATATTGTCATGCTCAGGATTCTGGTCTACCCTTGGTGGGAGATGGATATGTCCATTGAGCAGTTTGAATGTCTTCATTTGTATTGCCAGCTACCATGTTGGGATGAGAAGATGACACAGTTTTTAGGGGGAAGAACTGACGTAACAGTTGTCCCAGGCATAACTTCCCTCAAAGAAAACATTTACATGTACAAGAAATAGTTCATGTTTTTTGACATAGCATTTGTCTTATCACATTATCTTGTGAACATGCACTTGCCAGTTTATGGTACATATTGAAATGCAAAGTGAAGTAATCATTGGCTAAGGGAAAGCTTGGATGAGGGCCATGATTATATACTATATATAATTTTAAGGGCAGGTTCCTCAACACTAAAATAAGTCCATATCAACACGTCTATAAATCTCTTGTTTTTGAGTTAATAAATTTACAGTAGATGGCATCATGTTGCCATGTAGAGCAGGTTACATCTGTGGCTAGTCTACCTTTAATACTTAACATGCATATTACGGACTTAGCAGGATATTCATAACATGAGCAGGAAGATATAAATTTTACATATGGCCACGTGAATGATAATGGACACGAGGCTGCATCAGATTTCCAGACTGAAGGCAGCAGAGTCATCCAACTTTTGCTGGTGTTCATCATTGTTTTGTTGAGACAGAATCCGTGGTACCACAATGGATCAAGGAAAACAGATTCACTCATATGCCTGATTATGAAGAACACATTCTACAGGCTTTTGAAAATAACCAAGGTATTAGCACACGTCAAGTGGCCCTAGTACGTCATGTCTCATAGTACCACCTGGATGTATTTCAAGAGCAGCTTATGTATCAGCCTCATTTGCAACATGTGCTGTCTTTTGCCCTCTGATAACACCAAAAGATAACTTTTGCTGATGGTTTACTGTACAAATTGCCGTGTTGTCTCTCTTATTTACAGATGAGGCAACATTTCAAAGATTGAATAACAAATTTACACAACCAATATTTGTGGCTGGATTGGAATCTCCATGGTACAATACAGTGTCATTTATGATTAATGTATAGGCTAGAATTTAGTTGACTGTCTGGGAGGACCACATGTTCTCCCAGCCAGTCTATAGGGACTATTGCGGACACACTTCCAGACCTGCTAGATGATGTACAACTGCTAATAAAAAGACTCATGTAGTTCAAGCATGATGGGTCTCCAGCACATTTTAGTCATATTGTGATGGCTGACATCTAACATGAAATATGGATAGGTAGGGTAGGGCCAGTTATAATCCTTTAGATTTTTATCTGTGGGGCCACCTATAACAATTGCAGCAGACATTAATAATGCAGAGATGTTTCATCAAAGTGGCAGTATTTGAATGGGTCTGCCAGTCAATGATCTGATGGGTGCATGCATGTTGAACCAAGTGTAATTTAGAAAACGTGTTATGAGTTGCTATATTTGAGGCACAATGATGGCCTTTTGGACATGCTTACATGGACATTTTATCTTTTAGTGTCAGGAACCGGCCACCAGAGTTTGTAAAGTATTTTTGATACACCATATATAAGTAAAAAAAAAAAGAAAAAAAGATTGTCTATGTATGCTTCTAACAGAATGCAAAGACAGTAGGCCATTGAAAGAAATTAAAAAAATAAAAAGATTATTGTATATTATAACATTAGACAAAATAGAATTCCAAACATGCCAGAGTCCTTTTTAAAGAAAAATATCTATAACATGTTTGTAGTAATGTATGCATAGGTAGGGTTGTTTGCCTGCTAAACAGTTTTATTTATCACAGCAGTGGGATGTTGAGTGAAGAGTAGATGACAATGAACTGAGGCTCTGTGAAACTATCCATTCCAATTTAATTGTACAGGTTCCAGGTAATCTATAAAAACAGCACATCAATTTGGGTACATCTTGGACACCCACACCATTTTAAATAAAAAAAAAAAAAGGGGGTAACACACTGCCACTCCATAGACTGGCGTTTTGATTTCAGCTTGTAGTGGTGACCAGTTTAATTACCAATGATTGGGAGATGTTTTAATCACTACTGCCATTATCGCCAGCATCCACTGCGAGATCTTGGGCCAAAATAATAAAAGAGGACGATTACTTTCAGAACAACGTGACTACATTGAATTTCATGATTTGAAGCTAAAAAGCTGATATATTTTCTTAAGAGGAAGAAAAAAAAAAAAAAAAAAAAAAAAAAAAATCAGAATAAGAGAAAAAGTTTGTATGTAATACTTTTGGGTAAAAATAATATCAAATGTTTAGCGGTTAAATTTTATTTTATATATGAGAAACTGATAAAATAATTTTTCTATTTCAAACCAATGTCTTCACATGACAAATGTATAAACATCTTAATAAAACAAATGTTGGAGTGTCTCTTTGGCTGAAATAATATGTCCAAAAAGTGTTTAATGAGAGGAAAGGTAACAGTAAGTGTTTCTTAATGACATAAACGGATAAGACGATTTGTGACAACCAAGAAGTCTTCGTCCTGTAGATCTCGAAGAGCATCATCAAACATTTCACGAGTGATGGGCTGCAAGAACAAATAAAAATTAAATTAGAAGATGTTTAATAAATATTCAGAGAAAAAAGCAGTGAGTTTTTAGAATAGCCGAAATAATTATGTATTTATTCCCAAAATAATATAACCTGAAGTATAAATGTCACTCAACACAGCAAACATATTAGAAAGGTTTTTATTTTACAGACAATTTAACATTTTAATGCAAAACTCAGAGATAGATAGATACAGAGATAGATAGATACAGAGATAGATAGATACAGAGATAGATAGATACAGAGATAGATAGATACAGAGATAGATAGATACAGAGATAGATAGATACAGAGATAGATAGATACAGAGATAGATAGATACAGAGATAGATAGAGACAGAGATAGATAGATACAGAGATAGATAGATACAGAGATAGATAGATAGATACAGAGATAGATAGATAGATACAGAGATAGATAGATAGATACAGAGATAGATAGATACAGAGATAGATAGATAGAGAGATAGATAGATACAGAGATAGATAGATACAGAGATAGATAGAGATAGATAGATACAGAGATAGATAGAGACAGATAGATACAGATAGATAGATAGATGCAGAGATAGATAGAGACAGAGATAGATAGAGACAGAGATAGATAGAGATAGATAGATAGATATAGATAGATAGAGATAGATGAGATATAGATAGATAGAGAGATAGATAGGGAGATAGATAGATAGAGATAGATAGAGATACAGATAGATAGATGATAGATAGATGAGATACAGACAGAGATAGATACAGATGGAGAGATAGATAGAGATAGATAGATACAGATAGATAGAGATAGATAGAGATAGATAGAGACAGATAGATAGAGAGATAGAGATAGATAGATACAGATAGATAGATACAGATAGATAGAGATAGATAGATAGATAGATAGAGATAGATAGATACAGATAGATAGAGATAGAGATAGATAGATACAGATAGATACATACATACATACAGAGATAGATACATACATACATACATACAGAGATACATACATACATACATACAGAGATACATACATACATACAGAGATACATACATACATACATACATACAGACAGAGATACATACATACATACAGAGATAGATACATACATACATACATACAGAGATACATACATACATACATACAGAGAGATACATACATACATACAGAGATAGATACATACATACATACATACAGAGATAGATACATACATACATACAGAGATACATACATACAGAGATACATACATACAGAGATACATACATACAGAGATACATACATACATACAGAGATACATACATACATACATACATACATACAGAGATACATACATACATACATACAGAGATACATACATACATACATACAGAGATACATACATACATACATACAGAGATACATACATACATACATACATACATACAGAGATAGATACATACATACATACATACAGAGATAGATACATACATACATACAGAGATAGATACATACATACATACATACAGAGATACATACATACATACATACATACATAGATACATACATACATACATACATACATACAGATAGATACATACATACATACATAGATACATACATAGATAGATAGATAGATACATACATACATAGATAGATAGATAGATACATACATACATACAGAGATAGATAGATACATACATACATACATACAGAGATAGATACATACATACATACATACAGAGATAGATACATACATACATACATACAGATAGATACATACATACATAGATACATACAGAGATAGATACATACATACATACATACAGAGATAGATACATACATACATACAGAGATAGATACATACAGAGATAGATACATACAGAGATAGATACATACATACATACATACAGAGATAGATACATACATACATACAGAGATAGATACATACATACATACAGATACAGATAGATACATACATACATAGATACATACATACAGAGATAGATACATACATACATAGATAGATACATAGATAGATACATACATAGATACATACAGATACAGAGATAGATACATACATACATACATACATACAGAGATAGATACATACATACATACATAGATACAGAGATAGATACATACATACATACAGAGATACAGAGATAGATACATACATACATACAGAGATACAGAGATAGATACATACATACATACAGAGATACATACATACATACAGAGATACATACATACATACATACAGAGATAGATACATACATACATACAGAGATAGATACATACATACATACATACAGAGATAGATACATACATACATACATACAGAGATAGATACATACATACATACAGAGATAGATACATACATACATACAGAGATACAGAGATAGATACATACATACATACAGAGATACAGAGATACATACATACATACAGAGATACAGAGATAGATACATACATACATACATACAGAGATAGATACATACATACATACATACAGAGATAGATACATACATACATACATACAGAGATAGATACATACATACATACATACAGAGATACATACATACATACATACAGAGATAGATACATACATACATACATACATAGAGATAGATACATACATACATACATACAGAGATAGATACATACATACATACATACAGAGATAGATACATACATACATACATACAGAGATAGATACATACATACATACATACAGAGATAGATACATACATACATACATACAGAGATAGATACATACATACATACATACAGAGATAGATACATACATACATACAGAGATAGATACATACATACATACAGAGATAGATACATACATACATACAGAGATAGATACATACATACATACAGAGATAGATAGAGAGAGATCCAATCCCAATAAAATTTAACCCCAACATCAGGGTTTACACTTTCACTATTGTCTGGAAAGAGCACAATTTTTTTTCTAACTCATCCTGTCACCCCCTCCCAGTATTTCTGGTTATAGACGTACGAGATCAAAAATTAAACAATTGTACACACACAACCTGATCAATAGTGGAATTTTTTCTATTTTTAAATCTAATTTATTTTGTAACAGAATAACACAATATGACTATTGGCCTTACAGCCTAACCTCCCCTAGCAATAAGATATTTAGTTGTTAAGAGGAAGCATTATTTGCCAAAACAAACTCGACATGCATCATCATGCCAACAGAACAGTTCATTGGTAAAAGAAATCAAGTTGCTTTTTATTCCCCCCCCCTCACTTTTAAGGATTTAAAAAGACACTTTCCAATATAAAACAAAGATAATTGCAAAGTTGAAAATACTAGACTATTCAGGCAAAAGATATAATCAATGCAATCACAAAATAACTGAAATAATTTTTTTTTTTTAAAATGGTATGGATATCTTTGGTGACATTATGCCATCTGGCCCTCATCAATCCAGGGGAAGGAGGCTTCACTTTCCATTATATGTTCCACAAGCATCTTAATAACTGCTTAATTAGTTATTTTCCCCATTTAATTCCAATACATAATGAAACCTTTCACATTTGCCCAATGTTTTATACCATAAAATCAAGACTTCCTGTTCAAAGACTCCTATCAAACCTTCTTGGGGCTCTACTAACCTGGTATGGGTAGGTAACCATCCAGTCACAGAATAACATTTATTTAAAGTTAAGGTGAGAGACTGGAAATAATAGTTTCAAGATATTTACAAACATCTTGTAATGCAAATAAATTTTTACTCTATTGAATCTATTTATTTACAATCAAACATCCTCATTCCACTTAGTCCGAGTATATTTGTACTATTCAGTGTGGGGATTGAATTCACATTATGTCAACAAATTCACTAACCAACATTTTAATCCATTAGTCAATTGTCCCATGCAACATTGGCTTAGAGAATTAAAACATTGGTTAGGAAAAATTCAACTTATTTGTATTGCAAGATATCAAGAATGAACTCCCCCGCACCCTGCAACCAAGTTTCACCATAATCCTTGAGCTGAGTACTATAGGTATTCTCAGCTCAAAAAGATTAATAATAATTAATTAAACCAAGATGAGATATTCCCCCTATTCATGTATAAGACTAAGAACACATTACCCTTGTTACTTGAAGAACAGTCTAAATTTAGACTGAGCACTGTTTATGCCTTCCTGCATTATTTGACATGATTTTGTCATATGGCAGGGTATACATGGGGCAGCTTGAACATTGAGTGAGAGCTGATATTTACATGGGTTGGCTGAATGCTAATGGGTTAACATACATTTAAAGAAAGCTGGACAGTAAAATGGCTGAAATGTTGTGGTCATAAAAGATGAGTACATTACTACAACTGTTATATATATCCCCCAGAAATTAAGGTAGAAATTAATGAATCTTATTTCACTAAGTGATGTCAGAAAAAATGCTTGGGAAATGAAAAGAAACTTACAAAATCAGATCCCTCTCGAAATTCTTCAAACAATTTCTGGTATTTGAGTGTTGGAACTTTTCCTTTGTCCTTGATACATTTTTTGAGAGTTTGTGTAATTTCTGCCCTGCGTTTTCTGGCTGCACCACTGATGCCAGTTGTCAGAATGGTGATGTCGATTTTACCAGTTGAAGGATCTACAGCTGCTTGCTTCAAAGCTTCTTTGTACAACCTGAACAGATAAGGATAAAAACAATTCTTCACATTAAAAGAACAGCTAATAAATAATTTTATAACAATCTTATAGGGCTCTAAAAATAAAAATATACAAAATAATGGGGCTGAAGAACAAGTATGATAAAAATATTTCTGTATAGTGGATCAAAAACAAAACAATGGAGGGGGGCAACTGGTTTGCATTTTCAGAACTCAATTGAGGATAAAACAAGATACATGCACAATAAAAAAAAAAAAAAAAAAAAAAAAAAAGCAAAGCAATATGAATGGTTACTACCAGAGTATCAACAGTATAAATCAAACAGATTACACCTAGGCCCAGATGCCATTCCTTCTGCTTGCAAAGGAAAGGCTGCTTAGACTTAATATAAGTGGTCTCAAGAACTGTCAGATGGTAATCCAAATGTGCATTGCTGGTTACTGGAAAAAAATTTCTGGTAGAAGCCAAGGAACAATGCAAATTTTCATACTGACCTCATGGAATCTTAGCTAGTACATGTTGATCAAACTCCAAACATATTTGCACTGGCATTTGTAATTATAAATTACTGAACTTATATATGGGGTCAGAAGATCTTTATGAATGGATTACAATATGGGCCAGGAAGTCAAAACAAATTGTGAATTGGCAGGGGAAAAAAAAACAAACAAAAAAAAACTATGACTAAGATTGTCACACCCAGGCCATTGGTGTAAGTTTATCGTCACACCCTGAATGCTAAAATTTTAAATTTAAAACCTATTTTTCAACTCTGATAAAATTATGAAAACACAAACTAATTTACTTTATTTTTAAAGGTAAATAATTCAGAAATTATTTTTCTTTTGTAAATCCCTGTAATTTCTATTTGTGCTTATTAAGACCAGAAATATTTTGACACCAAAAATTGGCCACAAAAGATAGAGAAGCGATGCTCCAGAAGGACTTCATTAGAGTAAGTATTGTTTTCATTGATGGAATTGTGTGTGAGGAGGTGGGTATAAAAATGCAAGTGTTGGTCATAATTATGCACCAACAGGAAACACTGAATATGTTGGAACGTTGAAATTTTAAATTTCCTCCTAAGACATAACCTATTAAACACTATTTTTTTTACAACTTTGTCAGCCAATTGCCTAACTTTTTTCCAATATATAGAAATTTATTTATCATATCTTTTAATTAAATAGGACACTAACAGCTTTTATATTGGAAATGAATAACCAGCCAATAAAAAAAGAAAAAAGTCTCACGGCCAAAACAATATTCAAAAATCACACACACACACACAAATATAAACCCCAATAAAAATAAAATTTGAATATTTCTGATTAAAAGAAAAATTTAAAAAATTAATGTATTCTTCAAAGATGTTTTTTTTAACAAAAAATTATATATATATATATATATATATATATATATATATATGTATGTATGTATGTGTGTGTATGTGTATGTGTGTGTGTCTGTCACATTTTCCCTCCAATCAAATGAATCCTAATTTAGACCTGAAGCAGGATATTATCAGCCCACAACAGTTTCCTATGGCTCCTGGAAGAACTGATTATGGTGGACTGTGGGTGTCAAGGCTAACTTGAACCGAGACTGGCTTCCTTGTGTTAAGGAAAATTACCCCAGGTTTTGATAGCTGGATACCTACTGTGCATGCACCTGTTCATATGCAAGCACATTTGATGTTGATACCCACATTGCCAGCAATTCTGTCTAATTTCAGTTGTCTTTGCAATGGTAAGTTGTAACATTCTGACACAAGTGAACCATGGCCCTCCTAAAGTTCAAAAATCAAAAAAGAATGTCATGCATTCAGTGAAGACTGGGCATAGAAATATTTTTTCACTAATTCAGGGAATAAGGCAGTGTGTTTACCATATTATAAGACTGTTGCTATATTCAAGGAATACAATTTGAAATGACACCAAATAAAACACACTGAGCTTGGTAGCGAAATGTCCCAGGAAGAATGCAGGAAAAAAAGTTTCAGAGTGTGTTATGAAAGTGAGGCAGCAACAGACCATATTTATGAAGCACTCAACACTTTGGGATAGTGATACAGAGGCAAAATTCATGGTAGCATACAACCTCACTAAAACAAGCCATTTTCTGATGGTGAGTTTGCTTAGAAGTGTTTGGTAGATTGTACAAACCTCCTGTGCAATGATGCAAGAAGCAAATTCAAAACCAAATTATTACAAAGAAGGACTATAGTATGGCACATACACTTAATCAGTGAGGAACTAATGGACAAGAGCACTGATAATCAAGACATTGCACAGTTACTTATCTTTATCTGTGGAATTAAAAATTTTGCATCACAGGAGCTATTTGGTTTGAAATTGATGAAAAATACTACCACAGGTCAGGACTTGTTTAAGTATGTTGTGTGGAGAAAAGTGCCTTGTCATAGAATAGAATAGCAAGCATTATAACAGATGGTGTCTGAGCATTTACTGGAAAAAAAATTGGTATGATCAATGATTTTGTTTTTTCATTGTATTTTGCAACAGGAAAGCCTTTGTAAAGCTGCACTGGACCTAAAGCATGTGGTAGATCCTATAGTGAGCATGATGAATAGAATCAGAGCAAAAGTGCTCAACCATCAACAATTTAAATCTTTGCTTGAGGACATGGAGGCATGTGATTTACAGCAGTATTCAGTGGTTGAGCCTGGGCAAAATCCTAAAACAGGTTTGGGAATTACAGAATGAAATTTTCCTTTTTCTGAAATCAAAAGGCATTTCATGCGATATTGTGACCAAAATGGGATGTGAAGAGCGAAAATATGAGTTGTTTGCAGCTGATATGTTTGAGAAATTAAATGAGTTGCAGAGAAAGGAGCTGTTTGCACATGTTGAGGCATGTGAGCGAGCTCATTCAAAACAAAATTAGGTCTATCTGCAAGGCAAGCAGATGAGGGCGAGTTTTGTCATTTCCCCTTTTTAGGAAAACAGGAAGTGACTGCAGGTGTTCTTCCTAGATGAGTGATCATTTGCCGAGTTTGGAGTATGAGTTCCAGAGAAGATTTCAGGACTTCAAGAAAATTTGAATTTAATTTTTTATCTTATCCTTTCATTGCTGATATTGGTACAGTACCTGAGGAAGGGCAGCTTGAAGTTAATTGACATGCAGTCAAATCATACACTGAAAGAAATGTTTAATTCTGTGCCATTGATAGAATTTTACAAATATCTACCTACTGACAAATTTCCATATGAAAAAAAATTTGCTGGGAAAATGTTTTCTATTTTTGGATCCACATATTTGTGAGCAAAGTTTTTCCTGCATGAAAATCAACAAGAGTAAAAATAGATCCCCTGTGACTGACAAACTTGCAGGCAGTGATGAGGATAAGCAACCTCACTCTGAATTCCAAATAATTGTAAAAAGTGAGCATTTACATTTGTCTCATTAAATTACTTGTGTAATTTGCACATAAATTTAATGAAACCTTTTCTGTGTATCACTATTGTTTTAGTTTTATTTATTATGCAATTTACACTTTGCATTAAATGAAATGTAATGTTAACTAATGAATATGTTTTAGAAAGTGTGGCCCACCACTAACTACAGCCCTCTCAAAGTGGCTCCCAAGCCAAAAACAATTGGCCACTACTACTTATTTAGACAAAAGCATCAAGACAGACACTTACCTTTTAGCTTCTTCAACATCTGAAACCTCAACAACATTTGAGAACCTCATACGAGCATGAGCTTCTGACAATCTAATAAGAGATTCCAGTTGCCTTGGATAGGCAGACACTTGACCACGTCCGCTGCCAACTTTTCTCATATCAACATAAGCCTGAATGAAAGCCTGGCCAGCTTCTTCCCCAATCTTGGGGTTGATGTAATTCTTGGCATATGCAATATAATCTCTCAATATACTCATATCCTGTGAAAAAAAAAAAAAAATCTTAGAAATAATATTTAACGGTGAAAATAAAAAGAAAGAATTAATCTTAGTTTTGTATAAATTTATGCTATTATAAAAAGTTTGAATTTAACAATACAGAATATAAAATAAGAGTAAAAAAACAAGAACAAAAATAACACCAAAAATAAATTCCTCTGAAAATTTTTGAGCCAAGCACATTCTTGTAGTTATTATTAGAAACCCTTTTTTTTATATGCAGTATCCCTTCAGGATGTGGGTGATCATGGCTCTCTCTAATTTCCTGTCCTTTGTAACACTTAGAAAATTTTGTCTTTTCACTGTCACTCTTAATTCCTGTTTCACCAACCATTTGCACAAGCTGCTTGTTTGGTAGTGCTGCTTTCCCGTCCCTCTTGTCTTCAATATTTTCTGTGAGTGACAAATTTTCTAATACCGCTTTTTTTCATTATGCTCTCTAGAAATTTCAACTGTCTCAAAAACTGTCCTTGTTTGAATGTTCAGACCATGGCATTATAAGCATCTGTCTGTAAAACTAGCTCTATTGCCTCAAATTTGCCCCCCCCCATCTGTGAGATCATCCAGCATTTGTTATATAGGCAGCTGTTTATTACACAACAGTTAGGTACTCATTTCTGTTTCTAATGAGATTTTCCCGTTTCTTAACATTTCGCTTAACTTTTTGGAAGGTGTCTTTTGTTAATTTAAAACCTTTACTTTTATTTTTGATGGGGAAATCTTAATTCTTTAGAATTCTAAATTCAAAAATATACATTTAAACCAAGAAATCTGAAGAAAAAAAAAGTTTATTTGTATTAAATTAATAACTGCTGTACGACAAGCATGGCTCTTGTATTTAGAAGAATACTGACATTGTTTTTTTATAGTTAATATTTTATTAATCTTGTATTGAATCTAAAAGTCCAGATCAGTGTAATGATTTCTAACAATCCAATTGGAAGTAGAAAAAAAAGGGGGGGGGGATAAAATCCCAAAGGGTGTGAAGAACAATTGCCTTCTACATTAATAACCAGCCTCTATGATCTAAGTCAGTCCTTTCAATAATTACTCGCCCCCAAAATTGAACAAGTCAACCTGATAATCCCCTCACCAGCAAAAAAATCCTTATAGTGAAATAAGCGTAGGGATAGCAGATAACAACTTATGCTGTCTATGGAAATTTGGCAATATATGAAGTCTGTATTTGGACCCGCTCATACACATGGATCAAAATTTTCAGTTTTTCTTTTATATAAAATATTTCACCAATTGGTTTTCATGTCACAGCAACCTTTCCTTTTTTAAATCTGCATGCCAATATCACTTTCTATGCTGAAATCAATTACACCTACCACACACCTCCTGCAAATAAGGTAACACAGAAGAAAAAAACTTACCATGTTTTCTCCCTCAACATCTTCTTTGCTCTGAAAATAGAGGGAAACAAGATGGCTGGCCAAACGTCTATCAAACATTTCATCTTGTGGGTCCAAAATCAGGAAAATAAGATCAAATCTGAAATTACAAAAACGCAGGTGTATAAGCAATGAAAGGAGAAATAACTGCAGCAGCAGAGACAGAAATGGAAGATTGAAAGCCAAAGAGTGATGATAGGGGAGCAGGAAGATTTCTCACCTTGAAAGCAGTGTGTGGGGCAACATAATGTTTTCTGTGATGGTCTTGTTTTTATTCCATTGAGATTCAACAGGATTGGCAGCAGCCAAAATTGAAGTGCGAGCATTCAAAGAACAAATAATACCAGCTTTGGCAATGGACAGTGTTTGCTGTTCCTGGAAATATCAATCATTTTAGTAATGTAAGTAAAACAAAGATAAAAAGTTCTAAGCACTAACATAGTTAGGATTACACTCCAATTCATAGAAACTAATTTGGGAATTAAGGAAGATAGAAGATGGTAAATGACATTGCATTTAAATTTTTGAGATTGTAGGTGACAGGGAAATAAGAAACTGAAAGGGAAACAAGAAACTGAAAGGGAGTACCACAAGCAGGAAAAAGTATTAGAATAAAACATCTAGCTTGTTCAACAGTAAAACGGTGAGATCTAGTTGCAGGCCTAAATTCATGCAATTGAGGAACTAAGGAAAGTTCATCAATACAGTTGCCATGAAAATATTTATAGAAAAGACAGCGAGGACATAACTGAAGTTGAGATGGCAGGTCAGGATCGATTACATTACATTTGAATTTTGTCAAGAATCCCAAGATATATGGTAAGAGCACTAGACCAGATATAGCAAAAGTGTTTAAAGCATGGACAAATGGTAAATTTATAAATGTGAAAGATGGGATTCTGATGAGAAAAATTGTCTGGAACAACACTGAACCAACTTTCCTAGCAATTAATATAATCACTCCACCTCCTGTCTCCGGGAGTTTAGTATGCTTTTGTGGTTATTAACAGTGTTTATACACTGGCTGGGAAGTTACAAATTGTAATGGACAGCTTAAAAAAGCTCAAAAAGTACAAGAGCCAAAACAAAGATACTGGTCTGAATGAATCAATTTGAGTAGTAATGCCACATTTCAGACAATATATTACTAGATTTACTCAATCCTGCCAAAGTTTTTAACAATGTAACTAATTCTCTTATACAAATTCTTTTGCATAAACATTTTTTTTTAAGTCATTAATGAATGGCAACTGGGATACATTCTAAAAAAAAAAAAAAAAAAAACAACTCACAAATAAATTCTAAGCTATATATAAGTAGACACTGAGGTCAATACCTAGAAACAACAATATTTCATGCTTGGACACAATCTTCAGGCCATGTGTGTTGGCTTGATTATATATGCTGATCAATGATTCAAGTTCTATTGTATTATCCTAACAGTTATTGGGCAGACAGTTATGCTTCAAATTGTTCTACAGGGTATTGAAGAGAAATAATTTGGGATCTGAATGTAGCTATTCTATAACATTTTATCCATCATTTATTATTACTTTAATCATTGAGGTTTCTGCGGCTCAAGTAGTTAAGGTTTATCAACCCAAAATGTAGCAATAAAAAGGAAGATGGAATAAAAGTTGCAATAAAATATTTAATATCATGCAATTTATTTGGTCTTAAATACAAAAAGGAACAATTTTAGAATTAAACATCTTCAAAGAGAAATACTTTTAAATTCTTACCATGACTTCATGAAGGATAGACCTGGTACTCTCATTCATTTTGTCAAATTCATCAATACAGCACACTCCATTATCACTAAGGACAAGAGCACCACTGAAATGGGAAAATAAAAGCCAGTGATGTGATTGGAAATCTGTTAACATTTTCAGAAGTTTCATTTAATTACATATCCCCTTTCATTTTCATCACACATGAACATATCTAAGTAGCAAGCAATTAGAAAGATCTTAACCATTACTCATACATGGTGTTATATCAATCAAGGCCAGTTAAATGTCAACAGAATTCTATTTTGTTTGGAATCAAATTCTCAACTTTATTTTAATTTTACTGAAAATGAAGTAATTACAATTTGGCTGGTCCATTCTCTAGTCATTTTCAGATAATAGCAGCATCAATTAAATAGTCCTAAAATATGTCTACATAACTGTAGTGGCAAAAAAGCAATACAGGGTTTCCCAAATTTGTAAGAAAAAAAATATAATAAAGTTCCAGGATTTTTTTCTTCTTTTTTTCATTCACAGAAACTGGCATGCACACACACAAAATGAATGGTCATCAATTTCAAAAACACAATCTTTTAATAGTTTGAGAGAAAATATTTAAAGAAAAGCTACAGCTGGTTCCAATAATTCATGTCACATGCATCAGTTGAAAACTGAAGAATTCAAAGTGTTGAAGGCTAAAACACAATTGAATGCAGACCTGATTATGTTACACATTTTGAATTACACATTTCAGCTATGTAGACTACTCATGGTTTGTGAATATCACAAAAATTCTTGATTCCTGCGAAGTTAAATATATTAGTTTTAATGAACAGAACTATATTTAGCTACTCCCTACTACTCATGGCTTTCATTGAACATGGCACAGAGCACAATGATATTAACATTTTTTTCAGTTCATCTAGTTTAGCATACAGATTCTCTTTCAATTTTGATATCTCTATGGACTTGTCTATTGCAGATCTTTGCATAGCATTGGACTTAGGCGATAAGTGTGAAGTTCAGAGTCTGTTCAGCTTTCTCTGAATAGCTGTCAGCTGACTTGAGCAAATCTTGTGCAACTTTCAAGCTTGTGTTTTTTAGTCTTCAGTTCTTCAATTTCCATAAGCACAGATTCTTGTTTTAGTACAGCTGTTTCTTCCTGCCCATCAAATTTTAAAGATGAATTTTTTGAGATTCTACTAAAATGCATCTTATGAATAAAATAATTTATTATTTTCCTTAACTACAAATTCAATGAGTGTGAATTAATTAATCTTTGATGGAGATGTTTACTTGTCTGACACCTTTTATCTTGTTGAGTGAGGGAAGCAACTAGAAGACACACATTCATATTCTTTCCTCACCAAGACAAAAGAGAACTAACAAGGTCATGATCTTGTTCTAATCAAGGAAACAAACCACTGTTTGAAATAATTGCCAATTATTACTGATTACTAAAAAAACATTTTTCTTAAAGGACAATTATATCTTGTCAACAAAAAGCCAGGTTTTGGGGATTTTGCATTTTGACTTTCATGAACTGAGAAAAAACTGGCAGCCAAATTTAAAAAATTCCAGAACTTTTCAAGAAGCTATTGGGCTATCACTGTTTTTCCAGGACTTTGAGCCCTGGAAAATGTCCAGTCAATTTTCCAGGACATTTCAAGGTTTCCAGGATCTAAATGAACTTTGTATAAAAGGAAAAATAGTAACTGAGAAGGTCAACTAAGTTTAGGATTGTCCCACAAGACAATGGGTGAGAAGATTGCAAGACATCCCCAAATATAGACAGCAAAATGAGAACAATCTATCCGTTTGAAATTCCTTTAAGGTTACTCTGATCGACAAACACTTGAAGGGTAGAGAGTACAATGGCCAAAACTTTGAAAATTTATATTTTTTTAAAGTAACAAAGATGAGTGTCTATATTTCTGAAAGGAGGTATTATGTATACTATTTACATTATTCGGACTATTGTCCTCACCTTTGTCACCATGTATATTATCGGCCACTACGTGCCAGCCTTCTTCAAGGACACATGGCACAGTGGATAAAGGCATTAGTTAAATCCAGTGACAAGACAAAAGAGTGTGAGTTCAATACCTTGTTAAGGAGGTGGAGAACTTGGAGAGGAGAATTAACAGGAGATAACTGATAACTGACAACCATTAGACATGGCACGTGGAACTAGAACAGCCTACCCCAGTGAGCGAAATAAAGGGTTCAGTTCGACATTCCAACCCTCTGAAGAAGGCTGGAGCATACAACGGCTGAAACATTGTAATAAATATGGTGACAAAGATGAGGACAATAGTCTGACTGTAAACAATTATAACTTCATTTTAAAGTTCAGAGAGAAATGTTTTTAAAACCTCAATAATATTTTTTTTAATATTCATCAGGTGTCATATTTGCTTTAAGGGCTGGAAACTGACAACCTAAAATGTGATAGAAAGTAAAAGATGAGAATGTTAGTCTGCGTAAAACATCATATGACAATTTTGTCTTAAAGTTAAACACATGGCACTCCTTTGGCCTTGCAATGAATGTTCCCAACCATTAATAGAGGCAATATAAGAGATGGTGGCAAAGAAGGAGAGAGAGAGTAAAAAACAAACAAACAACTTCAGTAGAAAGGATGCAAAAAAAAAAAAAAAAAAAAAATCCGTTAAAAAGTATAAAGGCAGTCATACGTTTGCAAAACAAGCTGGTTTGTTTCTGGATCACGAGTCACGTAAGCTGTGAGACCCACAGCACTGGATCCTTTACCAGAGGTGTACTGACCCCGAGGCACCAAGTTGTGAACATATTGCAGCAGCTGGGACTTGCTGGTTCCAGGATCTCCACATAACAATATATTTATTTCAGACCTACAATAAATAAAGCATAAAATTTAGTCTTAATACTTGCAAGAGATATAGATCAGTTCTGTAACTAATTATAAACATGAGTTTGGTTCATGTAAATTCATTTATGTTCATCATAATTGGCAATTTACATTACAAATATCTACAACTCATTTTTGTTTGATATCTAGAATACAATTTACTTGAATAATATTTTTGCAAATCAACTTCTTTCTAAAGAATTAATGAATTTATTTTTAATGTGGGATTTTTCAAATATTGTTATACTCAATGCTTCATGTTTGAAAAAGACATCCCATTTTTACTTATTAAACAGTATGTATATCTATCAGCCTATACATCAAGAAATCTTGTTCTCCAGCAAGTATCTTAACCTGCATCCCAATTTACTGGGGAAACCACCATTTGATTCAGCATACTTTACCACTCAGCTACAAAGAACATCGCAGTAAGCAAGTCTCTATTTTCCCCTTTTAAGAAAGGCACATGCTCTTCACTCAGATTATTTTTCAAGAGTACATATCTGCAGTTTTGTTTCCAAAATAATAATAAATGTTTGAAGTAATAAAAATGTTTGATTAAAAATAAGTCCATTAATTGTCTATAAAATTGCTTTGCTTATATTTGATATGAAATGACTCAAGAAAAATAATCAGTGAAGGGGATGTGCTTTCCTTAAAGGAAAATTCTTCATGGCTTAGCAGTAAAGCATGCTGGATTAAAATGGTGGTTTCCCCTACAAAGGGGGACATAAGTTCGATCCCTGCTGGAGAACACTTTTTCTTTACTAAGATTTCTTGAATGTGTAGGCTGATAAATTTAATACACACTGTTTAATAAATAAGAAAGGTGCCTATTTCAAACATGAAATTGACATTTTAACTACATTTGAAGTAATAATGAAGTAATAATAAAGAAAAAAGAAAAAAGTCCCAAATATTATTCTTCTTAGTCAACATTCAAAACAAATGACTATTTGTAACATTATAAACCAACTGTCAACAAGAAAAATTAAGTATATGCTTTCCAATTGACATCTTTATCAGTACTCTATGACAATAATAAAAATACTTATTAATATTTGTGTGCAACATGAAGTAGTGAGCTTTCTTTTTTTTAGCAAGTTTATAATACATTGAAACATGTCACTATTTGAATTGAAACAAAGGACAGACATGAGAAGTATACACATTTGTATATAACTTAAGATAACATTATGAAAAGGTATGTCATACATGAAGAAGCATGGTGGAGTAACGGATAACACCTTCGACTGAGGAATCAGGGAGCTGAGATTGAATTCCATTTGAGTTTGTTATATTCACTTAAGTGCAAATACCCTTGTGAAAGGAATGAACCCATGTCTTCTCTACCTAGATAGAACAGACTGGGTTGTTTAGCTTTGAGTGGCAACTAGACAACTCTTAATTCAAAATCAACTATTGGTTAAACAGACTCCCAACCTGCAATTAGCCAAGTGTGGTGAATATAGATACACCTTTGTCTGGATTATATATATATATATATATATATATATATATAAAACTGAAAAAGACCAATGTAATTAAAATACACACAATACTGACAAGGCAACAGAAAACCACTCGATTATCTTTTCCAAGCATACATGGTAATTCACAAAAGAATCTGTGGAGAATCATAATCAGCTGTCTTGAAGGGACATGGCATTAGACAAAAAGCAAAACGATTTGAATTCAAAAATATCACCTGAAATTGCCCCGCCCAGTGCTGCTAAAATCTTTCTTGGTACCTCCAAACAATTGCAACAAAATGCCTTTCTTGATATCTTCATTCTCATAGATGCTTGGTGCTATTATGAAGCAAAATAAAAGAAGCAAGATGATAAGAGAAAAATCAAACAAATTTACTGGAAACTGTGAAACATTTATTGGATTTTTTTTTTTAGAAGCCCTTTTAGCATCACACTATTTTGAAGAATTACAAAAACACCTTAAAACAATAAAAATTCAGAATAAAAAATGCTTAAGATTTAAAAAGATTGTTATAACTTCCCAAAGCTTTTTTCTATCAAAATATTATACATGTCATCTTATATAGATAAGTTTATTCATAAAAAAAAAAAAAAAAGCTGAAGTGTGTTTGTCAACTTAACATCCTTTTAGTATCTCTGCTGTGGCATTCCTGATATCAAAATCTGAAATGATTTTAATTCTAATCAGTACAAAACAAGTTTCAGAGTAATAAAATTTGAAGAAGAAAAAAAAAAATCATTGTTACACCACTGCCATATATGAAATAGCAACACAATGTTAGCACATGGGAAATGCAACTCGGCATTAGGTATTAACATTAGAAATGGATTAAAACTGAATTACAAGTTACCCACCCAGGATATCAGAATTATTGCAAATATAAACAGGGATGGTGTCAGCTCAGACAGAGCTAGTCCACAAAAATCAGAGAAATCTTACCAATTGCTTTTGCAAGACGTTCATATATGTCAGGTGTCTCAGAAAGTTTCTTCAGTTCCTCAATTCTTTTAGGATCCATCATGCTTGGTTTCCTGTGAAGAGATCATAAAAAAAAAAAACAAAAAAACAAAAAAAAAAACAGCAACATTACAATTCAAATCTCAATTATTCATTCCATTTGTCAAGGACACAAAGTACATTAACCTCATCTGTTGGACATGGTAATCATCATTACATAGTATTATGAAGAATAATAAAATTTAAGAGTGAACACTTATTTTTAATATTTGTAGGAATATTTTTCAAGATTTTCTAAATACCTTTTATTTGAAATTGCTGTAATTCAGACGTTAATTTGTTGAAGATCTTTTCTATGCTTACATGATATATTCCACTGAAATTAGCTTAATTTGGGGTGGGGTGGACTTAAATGCTGAACGGAAGGAATTGCATGACCTGCAAGTGGACAATAAAAAATAAAGTTATCTTATTTTTAATGCATTACATGCAAATTGGCTGATTTTTACATTTACCCTGCAATCCTTACACAATGTCCACTGCAAAATCTGGTATTAATAAGTTTCTAATTATAATTAATGCCCACCATCCCATTGAGATGGAGGCCATTAATGGCTAAAGTAAGCAGTTGTGATAAGAAATCACAACTTTCAACAAGTGAATTTTATTTTTAAATTCTAATATAAAATATCTTTATTAATTTTATATAAATAAATCTTTTCCACTCCTGACTCCATGCTTAAATATTATCTAATGTAATCTTAAGCTGTGAAATTAAACACTAAAAATTCAGAAGGAAAGGGATTGGTTAAATTTGTGATAAGTAGAAAGGTTAAAAAAAAAAAAAAAAAGCAGTTTGTAGAATAGGCCCTACAAACAGAAATAATCACTTTTTTATATTATTAATAGATTAAGCACGAATATCCATTTATTAAATAGTATAAAAGAGGGTCTTGTCTGCTAGCTAATTCATTATATATTGATTGCCCACAAGGCAAAACAAGATGTTCACACCACATGATTACTTAAATATTATTAAAAAACAAACTCTGGCACTCACCATTCAGATTGCATTTTTTTTATGTATTACTATCAATTATAGGCAACATAGCAAAAAAAAAAAAAAAAAAAAAAAAACCTTTGTGGTCTGGAGTGCTTAATTGAGAGTAATATGAAGAGTTAAAGAATTTTTTTTTTTTTTTAGGTCATAGTTCCTATTGTACAACCACCTAAAAATATTTTTTTTTTGTTTGCATACATTAACTACAAGCTGATAAAACGGCATTAAACTTTAAAAAAAAAAAAAAAAATTTTGAAGGGAATTTTTTTTTTTTTTTTTTTTTACTGATTAGCACCCATCAGACCCTTCTTTTTCAAAATCAAAAAACCTTTTTGTCACTTTAGGAGGGGAGGGGGTGAAGAAAGCCATGTCCTTAATATTGATAGAGTGTAAAAATTGGTCCCCCAGTTTATTTTTAGTTATCTAGATCTATCTGTTTGTGTATGTGTGGCAGACATGAGACAGAACCTGGGACGAGCACAACCGGTCGTGACTTGCCTTGTCCCTGCCAAAAAGGAGCCCGTATTTGCTTAGCATGTAAAGCTACTGCAGTTGAAATGAGGGAGAAAAAAAACTTACCGCTCTGCCGTAATCCATCCTCGGCCAGATAACGTAAAAAGAATGAGGGGGACTGGCATTGCATTTTTATGCAATAACGATGCAATGCATTATGGGACATGGATGCAATGAATTATAGGATCACATGAAGACGCAAGGGATTATGGGTACATGAACAACTATAAAACAACTACTTTTTTTCCGAAAGTCGGGAGTTCTTGAGGGACGTTCACGGTTGACGGCGAGAATGGGCAGTTAGTGTGATTTTGAGACAGAACTCAAGAAGGAACGACTCAAGGTTGAAATACCAGCTGGGAGAGCTTGAATTTACTCGCTGGTTACTGTTTTCTTTATTCGCTTTTTTCTTTATGAACAGTTTTTTTTTTTACCCCGCTAGCAATAATGTTTCTTTTTAATAAAGGACAAACAGATACATAAATTTCTAATTAAAGTATACATCTTTATTTTCCATTTAAGATAAATAATTATTCCCAATGTTTGTGCTTCAGAAATCACCAGTCAGAAAAAGAAAAATAGGTTAATGAATGAACTCACCCATCAGCATCTTCATTGACCTGCAGACGTTTTGTATCAACTTTACGGAAATGTACAATGTCAATATGAGTCTTGTAGACAGATTTGACGTTTCTTTGACGTGGGTTCACACGAAGTGGAGTAGCTCTATATATACCTGTGACTGTAACACGGTCACCAGGTTGAACCTTGTCAACCAAATCATTGTGGGCATACATCACAACAGTATGAGGTGTTTGGCCTGGAGGCATATCCTCTAGAAGAGAGGAGGAAAAAAAAATAAATAAATAAAAAAATAAAATCAATAACTGCCAAAATTTGAACTGAGCTTTCATTCAGTGACAATATATAAAAGTCTTATCTTATTTACTAAGTCAATCTATAAATATCTTTTCTTCTTAAAGCAATACCTGAATCTTAGTTTCTCTTCACAAATTGTGACTCATCTTCCTTCTAAATTGTTGCCTTCAACATTTTGCTCATTTTGCACAAATACAAAAACATCCCATAAATCAGGTTTTATATCATATACACAAAACAAAAACAGTAAGAAAATGGCATAAAAGTTTATTTTGCAACAATCACTATTTCCACTTTTTCATTCCATCAATGAAGTAGTTCCTTGTTTAATATTTGCCAATTTCACAGAGCAAATTGAGCTTTGGATGAAAAATGTTGACCTTTCACTTTCAGCAAAGAAGTAGAAAGTATGCACAACATCAAATCATGAGTGTGTGTGGAGGTTGTTAAATTTTAACTTTGTGTCATTTAGAAAAAAAAAAACACATACCGAAGGTAGTTGGTACATGGCAGCAGCCACAAAAAACTGGGATAGGCGGTACAAGAGGAGGACAACAACACTCAAAAAACAGTCTGCCTGCCTTATGTGAAGGGGTTATCAGAATAAATACAAAGGATCTGCGGTCCATATAACATCAGGACAACCTTCAAAAGCTTGACGACACTTTGCAGATATCTCTCCCAAGTAAGACCCCACCCCATAGAAGAGTACACGACTAAAGACTGTGTGTACGCCATCCCGTGCAGCTGCGGAAAGGAATATAAAGGGGAGACAGGCTGCCCTCTTAAGGTAAGGCTTCAAGAACACCAGAAAGCTATAACATGAGGGGAAGTGGAAAAATCAGGCGTGGCTGACCACATATGGAGAGAGAAGGGAGATAACCGCCCTCTATGGGATCAGGTTGAGATCATAGACAAAGAACACCATCAGAAAATTCGTAAACTTAAGGAATCAGCACATATGTTAGGTCACAAAAATTTCCAAGCCGACCAAGCATAGAAATGAATACAATATGGGAACCAGTAATAAAGAGTGCCAGAGAAAAGTGATAATAACAACAAAAATTACAATATGAGCTCTGGTAAAAACATGCAATGATAACAGCAAAAATTGCAATATGAGCACTGGTAAAACTGGTTGCTGAAGACATTAGGTTTATAATACCCAGAAATTCATACACAGATGTCCTCAAGCCACAGTGGATAAAGGCGTTAGTTAGATCCAGTGACAGGACCCAAAGATTGTGAGTTCAATACCTTGTTAAGGCAGTGGAGAACTTTCAGAGGGAAATTAACAGGAGATAACTGATAACTGACATCCATTAAACATGGCACTAGAACAGTCTATCCCAGTGAGCGAAATAAAGGGTTCAGTTTGACGCTCCAACCACCTGAAGAAGGCTGGAGCGTACAATGACAGAAACGTAATATGGCGACAAAGATGAAGACAATAGTCTGAATAATGTGAATAATGTACATAATACCTCATCTCAGAAAAATAGGCAGATACCTAAGATGATATCTAACAAATTATGATCTGCAGATTATCCAACATTTAACTATTACAAACGAAAATTACAATGTCATGATTCAGTTGTTAAAAGAAGTATATTGTGAACAAAATATTAAAGCAAATAAGTGAAATTCTGAATTTGAGAGAGTCAAACAGTATTTAACCAAAATCATAGTGGACTTCTTGTATTTGAAAAACTAAATTTTCTGGCTGATAACAAAAATAAACAAGCTATGTTATTTTCTCTAAGTTGCCCATCTGTAAAAGGGAGATCATCTATACTGCAGGGACTAATTATCCTTTGCTGATACACATTTTCAACAACAAAGTGATCAAAACTCTTGCCATAATGAAATTTAAGTATGGCTTAAAGAAGTCAAACTTAGGGCATCAAATCAAAGCAAATTCTGGCCAGCATTACAGAATTTCAATACCTATGTGAAAACTACAATTGTATACAAGTTTTGTGGTGCTGAAAGTCATACTAGCACTTAGTGTCCTAAGTTACCTTCTCTGGAATGTAGATTAGCAAAAGGTAAAAAGCTTATTTTCTTTAGATGAGTCACAGACATAGAAGCCAAAAGTGCAAGCCAATGCAAAAAAAAAAAAGAAAAAAGCCACACCATTTAAATATAAATTTTGTAAGTACCTAGCAAAAAGAAACTAAAAGAAGTAATGTTTGATATTGGATTTAATAACACATCGCTCCTTACCATATCTGGTTGATGAAGATTTTGATACTAAATTTAATCTTGTCGGGTTTCATAATGTGGAGAACCTGAACAAATTAAACAAGTTGGCAGCAAATTGAGAGAAGGAAAAATTCCATTCCTGTTCATGGTCTTCTGGGCGTGGATTTGATTCTGTGTATGGGATCCACACAACTGATTGAATGCATGAATGAATCTGCTTGGCAGATTCCTGAAGAGATAATTCCATTTGGGAGTGTCAAATTTTTTTTGGCTCCCTTTCAAATGGTTTCTAAAAACTATGAAAACTACACTGAAGACATTTATGAAATATAAAAGCAATTTTTATTACGGAAAGTTGCCTTGAGATGATTATAAAATTGGATATGTCCGATTTAACCATGCTGTAGCCCTTAATGTACTAAATAGTGTAGTTATGAAATTGGAATCAGCAAGAAGGGATCATAGAATGGATAGATGTTTCCCATGATAGGTTTGAAAACTACATTTGGATATCTCATAGACCTGTGTTCAAATCAGGGGACCAAACCACTAACAAGATAAGACCTGTCTTTATTTATTCACATAAAAAAAATGGGGACACCTTCACTGAACGAAGCAGCCTACCCCAGTATAAACCTCATGGGATATGTGTTGGAATTATTGTTGTTTTGTACTAACATATATACTTCTTGCCAACATTAGGAAGGCTTTTCTAATGATAAAACTTGAAACAGAAGAACATAATAGATTATGCTTTTTTATGAAAAAGAGAGAATGTTTGGTTTGTTACACTATCTTAATTTTTGGATCTGTGGCCAGTCCTTTTATATTTAATTATGTGATTAAACAATGTTGAAAATTTAGTGAAAACTAGTAATTCTCCTGAAAGCTATTGTATCTTTATCAACAAAAAGAATGAGTGATGGAAACTTCAATTTGAGATCTTGCAATAGTAATTGTGAAGAGTTGAAAACGCAAATGATGAAAGGCAGAAATTTTGTCAAACATGTCTGAGAATTAGAGAAGGTATTAGGTTACAGATAGAATCCTTCAAAGGATACCATACAAGTTGCTAGTAGTTCTATTGATGAAAATGCCAAAACAAAGAAACATCTTGTCTCAAATTTCTGGCATATATGCTCCATAATCTTTATATTTACCAATGACAATTAAAGGGAGACTACCTGTTACTGAGTCATGGTACCAGAAAATGAACTAGGACTGTCATCTCTGCTGAAACTCAGTATGCCTGGTCTAGTTTAGCCAGACTTATCAACTTTATTAAAGTTTCCCCAGATGTGCTGTGGATGAAACATATACTGCAGATTTACATATTTTGCGATGCCTCCAAAAGGGTTTATGAGTCTGTGACTTATATCGTTCAAAATGGAAGATCTGCTTTAGTTTTTGCTAAGGCAAAGGTGACTCCTTTAAAATTCAAAACCTTACCCAATTTGGAACTGCTTGCTGTGTTTTTAGCAATCAAGTGTTTGTGAAACATTTTGGAGATGTTTTCCAATATTTTTATCAAGAACACCTTTGTAGCTATTGATGCCCAGATAGTATTGCCTTCATTACTTTCTGAAGGTGTTAAAGCCAAGAATTGATTTGTTAAAAATAGAGTAAAGGATATAAGTAAAATGGCTAAGGAATTACTTGATAAATATTCCAAGCCTCATAATTTCAAGTATATGTATTACTCTACAGAATCCTGCTGATTTAATTAACAGAGGAATATCCTTCAAAAAATTCCAGCAAAACTTCAATTTCTAGGTTTCTAGACCTGAAAGGCTGAAGAAACAGCCTGTGACCTGGCCTGTCAGTAGTTTGGGTTGTTGGAGTTCTGACAACAAAGAAATTGTTCACTATGTCAGAACATGGTCTCTGCACATGCTGAAAATCCTACTATTCATTTCTAGAAATATTCAAATTTAAAACTTATCAGTGACAGCTAAGCAATATTTGATAAAAGTAATGAAAAAACAGTCCCTTGAAAAGGAAATTAATTATCTTTTACAATTCTTGTAAAAGAGGCAACTGATTTAGTTAAAAAATTTTTTAACTTATTTTTAGATAAAGAAGGAATTATCTGCCCAGATGGTAGAATTGTTAACATTTGGGTAAAGGAAAAGGATGTTGGAGATATGAATAAAATGTATTTGCTTTTTTTTTTTTTTTTTACTTGTTTGAATGTATGAACTGTATGCATTGAACTTGTGAAGGACATGAGCTCTCATGCCTTCATTCTGGCCTTTATCCAGTTTACCAACATTTATGGTATCCTTTCTCATATTTACAGCACAGCTGTTTAAAGCCCTTGTTTTTGTCATATAGGAAAATCCAACATGGCGCGTAAACGAAATATTTGGCAAAAAATCTCATTCGTTAGTAACATTTTAAACACCTCATAGAATGTAAAGTTCTTAAAGAAAACCTATGCCAAAGTGTTTTCCTGAATCCTTGATGACTTGGCTGTCCGAAAATGGTAATATCAAGATGAAATAATGGAAACTGACCGTGAAAAATACAATTATGCGCAACAGGTTTTCGATCAATTAGTAAACTTCTGGACCTTTTTAGATGACCTTATAGGATCCAGACGGCTATTTTTTGCACATGGAATTATTCACTGGTAATTAATCTTCGATTTGGCTGTGGAAAATGTCACTTTCGGCGGTTAGCATTAAGAAATTATGCCCAATTTTCTGAGAAAAATCCCTTTTTTATGAAAAATATTTATTTTCGC